TACAGTCATTGCTGGACTGACAGATGTGCTCCCCACGAGACGCTGCTGGTGGAATTTTCAAGAGTATGAGGCCACAGCAAAGATGCCAGATATCAGATCAGATTCATTTTACCTCTTGTACAAATCACCCAGAATCTCTCTGTAGAAGTGCCAGTTACATGGAAGGGGCATGTGAAACATTTCGCTTATCATTTATTTTAAAATTTGAAACAAGCTTCTTTTAATCCCAGTTCCCTCTCCCTCCCCTCCTCCCCTGCCCCCCACCTATCCCCTATCCCATGCCCTTTCTGCGCTCCAGGGAGGGTGAGGCCTTGCATGGGGGATCTTCAAAGTCTGTTATATCATTTGGACCCTCCCCCATGTGTCTAGGTTGGGAGAGTATCCCTTTATGACATTTCACTTATTCTTGTACACCACTTCTCTAAAAGCATGTTGACCAAAGATGAGCATGAGGGCCTACTTGTTTATTTCAGGTGGGACTCTCTGGACAGGGATATGATTGACCATGTCTAGAATTGTGTATACATGGCTGTAGGCAGAGTTCTAGATGCAGGTCCAAGGATGGTGGGATGTGAGGGATGAAGCCACCAGGTTATTTAAAGCCATTAGGAAGTAAAGATCACGGAACTAGATTCATCTCAGGTCCTTGATTTCATTTCCTACTTTGAGTTTACTTCCACATTTTGGTAGTAAGAGAAATAAATAAAATTTCCTCAGCATATGACAGGCCTTCTTCTGCAGCTCATTGAAGAGGAGAATTCAGCTAAAAGCAAGGTGAAAACTATCTAGCAGGCAGAGCACCACCCCACCGCACCTCAAGCAGGCATGCTATTCAATCCCATATACACTATTTGTATGATGTTTTTGTAGGTGTGGGTATGTGGGTGTGCAGGTAGTTATGTATGTGTAGTGTGTGTTGGTATGTATAGGTGATGTGGAGGCATGGAGGTATGTGCTATTCAATCCCATATACACTATTTGTATGATGTTTTTGTAGGTGTGGGTGTGTGGGTGTGCAGGTAGTTATGTATGTGTAGTGTGTTGGTATGTATAGGTGTATGTGTGATGTGGAGGCATGGAGGTATGTGTTGGTGTATGCATGTGTGTGTGTGTGTGTGTGTGTGTGTGTGTGTGTGTGTGTATTTATGCTTTTACAGTGTATGTACATGTTGTAGCCAGATGTCAACTCCAGGTGTCATCCCTCAGGAATTGTCTGTCTTGTTTTTGAGACTGTGACTTGCTGGGATCTTGTGCTTTTCAAGTGGGTTAGGCTGGCTGCACAGTGAGATCTAGGGATCCACCTGTCTCTGCCTCTCCAGGATAGGATATAAGAACTCACAGCCATGCTTATCTTTTCCATGTGGGTTAAACCCAGGTCTCCATTGCAAGTCCTTTACCAACAAAGCTTTCTTCCCAGCCCCTGGAAGTCTTTAGGGACTTAGAAGCTGATTATTTAGGGAATGTGGAGAAACGGAAGGACATTAACAACAACAAAAACTTTAAATTTCAGTTTATTCAAAGATTCACTAAATGCATGTTCCTTTATTTCCTGATAAAAGTGGTCATGATTTGGGGGTACATAGTTCTTAGTATAATTCCTGGTTTTCATAGGAAATTGGTTGTTCTTCACCAAAAAGGAGGATGCTGTTACTTTGTGTGAAAACTAGGCTAGATGATTGGGCAGCCAGATCCCATATTTATGCATTTTCTACATGTTCACTACAATTACTGTACTTCTCTAGGGTAAGAACCCTGTGGACACCTCCTGAAGGTGTAGAATAACTACTTTGGGACAGAGTTATTCCATCTGATTTTTTTGACTACTTATGGGAGCTATTTATAGTTAAGATAAAAATTAAAGCTAGAGACAGTATCAACTGAATCCATATTTGGTATCTGGGAAGGATTAGAACAAATTTTCTTGATCTTCTCACTAGGGGAATAGTACTCTGTGCTTAAATTTGCAATAAAAATATCCTTAGGGGAAAGAGCCACAAGGAATTGTTGTCTGGACTTCCTCTATATGTGTTTTTAATACAAATATAATATATAAATATAAAATTTCCTTGGTTAGTTTAATTTGTAGACCTTTTTTTTACTCTATTGTAAACAGGATTTTCCCCTAATTTTGTTCAAAGCAAATTGATCATCGGTATTACTTATTTTTATTGATGAGAACTATGAAATTGAGAAATATTAGCATATGTTTCTGGCTACACTTATAGTAAATGAGAACAATAATCCTGTTGTTCAAGATGAAAGCCCAGTGTTGTTGAATTAGAAAACACATAGTATTTGACACATTATTTAATTTCCTGACATCAATAATGGGTCACATTCCACTGATATTGCATCTAAATAGGAAGTAGGGCTGCTGAATACACTGCTTTTAATTTACTTTATCTAAAAGATTTTGTACTATAGTAAGATAAATGTATTGAGTAAATATTTGACAGATGTAATATATCTTATAGTCTTCTCATAGCACTGGATATACATTTGATTAAGATACAAATAACAATGAGGGAGAAAGGGTGGGAGGAGGGAAGGAATGAGAGAGAGAATATGAATAGAATTTGATCCATGTGTGTTTATACAAAATATAAGTTTTACACATAACAGATTGATACTATTACTCCATAGTACAAGGACAAAGGGAGAAGGAAAAGAGGGAGAAACAAGACATCTAAACTTCTTGAAGAAAACAAAAAACATTGGGTACCTCACAACAGATAAAAATCAGTCAAATAATGGAAAACACTAGTCAGCAAAGTATGTACTACACATGAAGGCCTGACTTTACTCATCTCAGTGAGAACTGTTTACATATTGTCAAAGCTTCTATGCTTTTTACCGTCTTTATATTAAGTCTTGAGTGTGGCTAAAAACACGTGTTGTTTACCATTAAACACATGATTTATTTGTTCAACATCTGGTATTTTGATAGAGAACCAGTTCCTGAAAAATTAAACTGAATTTATACACACACACATGCACTCACACATGCACAGCAGATATGCTGATGTTTTCCCATGGGGGTCTGGCACTATAATTGGTACAGATTTTCTGGAACATTTGTCTCTTGGTGTGCTGATGGCATCAAACCTCCTTGAAGTGATGCTGGAGATGCTGTTCCTACCACAGGAAGACTTGAAGGCATAATTACCACAACCTGTAAAGTCAATCAGATGCCACCATGTCACCCAGTATCCTCAGAGCTTCATTTTTCTACAATACTATGTCACTACTATCAGCATATGCTTTTTTATCACTGGGTTGGATTTCATATTAAACTGGTGATATTCTTGGACATTAAAACAGGGTAGAGCTGGGACATACATTTACTGACAGAGCTTGACCTGAGATGTCTGCTGCTGTGTCTCTGAACATCAGTCCCACATAGGGGTGGTGGTACAAACAGGTGGGCAACCACAGTGTTCTCAAATATAAAGGGAAGCCTCTGTCGCCAATGGGTATTATGTTAGACATCCACCAGAAGAAACACAGAGAGCTCTTTTTCCAATGCAAGTATGAAGATGACATTCACACATCTCATTCATGACTCTCTGACTGTGGATAAAGCACTGAAGAAACCACTCTGACCCTGAAAGGGTGACTGTTTCATGAAACAAAAGTAAATCCTGGTTCTTCTTCCACAAGCTCCAAGTGACATGAAATTGAGCAAGGATAGTAGAAAAACTACAAAGCCTCACAGCTACTATTGTCTAGGTTCACGTAATATAATGAAAGCAATATTCCTTGGCTCAGAGCACAGACTTAAAACCTTAAGACATGAAGTTTACTGAAGATCCTGCCCCATCCCTGAATGCTTTACTCAAAGAAAAAAATATCATTGATTTCATATATATTCACACTTTCTGGGCATTTTAATGCAGACACCACCACTAATATTAATGTGTTGTGATTTGTCGCTCACTCATGAGCAAGAACCTTGAAGACATATGGTATGCTGTTGTTCTGGAACCTCAGAAGAAGATTTTTTAAAAAGTACAAAAGATATAAACAATCACCCTACAACCTACACTGTCATAACTTTATTATTGGCAATGATTTGTCTTCCTGGGCATGACTTGTTAGAGCCATTGAGGAAGATGTCTAATTAGTGAGCCAATACTGAGGTTTTATAGCTACTTTCTCATTCTGGATCCCCTGGGGCTGGTGAATAAACATGATATATTTATTCTTCCTGTGGCTTTGGCTTTGGGCTCTTCTCTCTTTCCATTTTCTAACTTTACTATCTCTGTGTATGATATTCTTTTTTCTTAGCAATCTAGTGGATTGGCTGCAGGTCTCAAGGTGAGGCATTAGTCAGAGGTGCACAAAGTGATGGAGAGGTTTGACCCCTGACATGTTTTTGGCAGCCTGGGGAAGGTTGTTGTAATAGAAAATAGAACATCTGGCACTCTGAGCAGTTCTTCCTTGAGAAATAGCCCACAATCCAGAATCAGAATGAATACTGCATGAGAGGGTGAGGCTTAGGAGTAGAAGCTTTTCTGTAGACATTGTGGAGGTACAAATCCAAAATGAAACCTCCTTTTGATTTAGCTGGAGGCTGTATACAAGATGGGTATCATTCCTTCCAATGGCTCACACATCAGTTGATGTATCACCTAGGACATCATTCTGCATGAACCTTTCCTAGGCATGTGAACCCTACACAAGCGCCGGGACGAACTTGAAATGATTCTCCTGTGTCCTCAGAGAAGTACATCATCACGAGTCAACAGAGAGAAAATGATTTTTTCCACCTGGGCCTGGAAGGGATTCAGAAGCTTCAGATGAGGTCACAGCCTAGCCAACTGCACAATTGATGCCCTTTAAGACTCTGTGCAGAGGACTCAGCTGATTGGTGCCTGCATTCTTGACAGATTGAAACAGAGCCAGTAAGGATTTGCTATTGTGAGCTTCTAATGTTATGTGATCCATTGCAGAATGAAGGAAACTACCAGGAACATCTTCAAATGAAAACTAACACTCACCCCACTACGATTGCAACAGGTCACTTTGCATCCAAAGACAGAAAGGGACACAGCAATGCAGAATTCCAGCAAGTCTAAAATGATCACCAAGGCTTGCATACCCTGAAAACATATTTACAAGAAAGGGATGTGAGGACCAGCAATGACAGTTTCCAACATTTACTGTGCATTACAATGCCAGAAGAGAAGAGGCACTGACTGCCAAATGCAGCTATGCTGTGGGCCAGTTCTTGGGCTATTGACATTCAGGATGAATGTCATTTGTTCTTTCTCTGATAGGATAGCCTAGTCTTCCTCTCTTTTGCCCTCATCTAGAATATTCTAAGTGCATTATGAGTACAAAATGTGGATATGTTTTTAAAATGGTGGCAGTAGCAGTAAATTATAAAGATAATGGCTATTTTAGTTTTTTCAAACACTAGACAGTACATATTGTTTACAAAAATACCATGCTTTCATATTTGTTAATGATTGTGGGTGGAATATTGACCGACCAGAAATGTTTCATACCATAGTCACTATAATCTATGACTGTGTGAGACTATGTGGTAAAGAGAATTGCTTGCTGAAAGGATATGTGATAGGTAGGGTTTTAGTTGGGGGTGGTGGTAGGGGAGGATAGGATGGAGAAGGGAACTGGGATTGTCATGTAAAATAATATTGTTTCTAATTCAAATAAAAAAAATCTACAAAAAAAGGGAATTGCTTGCAGCTGAAAGAAGCAAGGTATAGGGAGTTTGGCCTGGCTTTCTCATTTAATAAAAGCTCTTCTTATTTGTGGAAGCGGAAGGCAGGACAGTAAAAGTTCATGGGAGGTGCAGAGATATTATATGGTTTTATGATAGAAGACAGGATGAAAATTTGAGCAATGGAAGTGGACCCTAGAAGCCAGAGAGGGCAAGGAAACCAGTTACACCCAAAGGTTTCACCAAAGGAATTTAATATTGCCAGCTGTTTGATTTTAGTCTGCAAAGATCCATTTTGAATGTCTGAGATCTACAACCCTAAGAAAATACACTTGAATTGTGCTCTAAATTAAGAGCAATGTATTACAGCACTGATAGGAAGGGAATGCAACAGTGATCTTCAAGTTACTTGCTCTTTAATTCTGGTTCAAAGAGAATCATCTTTACACCAGTCTCCTGCTCTTCTGTCAGAATACAGGGTCATATTGGAGGAACACAGGTTAGCCTTTATTCAAGGCTCTTCCCCTAAGCTGATGTCTGAGAGTCTATAGATAAAACATTATGTTTAAGCACCATGGCTAGAGAAGTTCCCTCTGCTGGGGAAGAATCAATATCAAAAGCTCAGTCCAGAAGAGGTATGGACTCAGTGTGCCCTGAGATTGCATTCCTTGTTTATTCAAACCTCTAACTCAGCTGGTGCCCTCCTCTAGCATGGGCAAGTGGCACAAAAGTGTCCTAAAGCTCAGTAGGTGGAGACTGAGAGTTTTCCAGGAGCTGGATGTTAAAGCTAAAAGTGATCAATCTGGCAAGAACTTCAGGAGCTATTAAGGACTCTGATTCTCACCACTTAGAGGACAATTCTCAATGTACTTAATTCTACTAGAGAACCACGTGTCTCTGCTAGGCTCCATTGGAAGCTCTGCAGAAACAGAGGGACTTAAAACTAACCTTTATTCTCAGATGAGATAATAGTACTTATTGGGGAGCATTTTGAAGTTAAAGAAAAGTGTGTGGAATGTCCAATATAGTAATTACTAAGGACTTGTGTTCTCTAACTGAGATTTCTTCCCATTTGGCTTCATTGCTTTTAGGTATCAAGAGTCCTACTCTGCTTCTGTGAATTTAATTTTTCACATTCTACGTATTAGTGTTTGACTTGTTTCATTATATTCTCAGCTCTAAGTTCATAAATACTTTAATTGGAAACATTTCTGAAAGCTAATGGCCCAGTAACATCAGAGATGAGACATGAATCTGATTCTTCATGGTTTGGCATATTTCTCACTCATTTCTAGTGATTGATGAGTTGGTCAGAGCCCTTCTTCCTCAGCTTTGTTTCTACCTTATTCTGTGAAAAGAGAAAGGTACTCACCAAGAAAATGGCCAGACTCTGGATGCATTGGCCTGGCATATAATCATGTCTGCAGAAACCGTAAACAACTGACAAATCATGCAACCTGCTCACACTTAAGAAGAACCCAAATAAAGCCACCATAGAGCTGGCGATGTTCAATCCCATGCTGCTTTGGACCTAACAAGTAATGAAAACAAAACAATCAAAAATATTCCCCTCAAAATAACATCCTCATTTTTCCACCAGTCATTTCAACTTTATCCCCCTACATTCAGTCCTCCACATTGTTTCAATTATCACTATAGTAGACATTGTATATCAGTGATAAACATATACTAAATAAATTTATTTTATTTAAAATGGGTAAAATGACCACAGAGGCATTTTTAAAGAGAAGACGTGTAACAGGTACAAAGCGTTGATTAACACCACTAATTATGTTTGAAATGGAATCACATGTCAGCTTATACTTGCTGAATGACTGTTTTAAGAAAGACTAAAGATAGATAGCAAGGTGGTGCTGAGGATGTAGACAAAAGAAACCCTAGTAGAGTGTTGGTGAGAATGTATTGGATTACCCATTATAGAAAGCTAATGGCCCTCCAAATTGAAAGTAGACAGGACTCAGCAATTCCTCACCTCTTGGCATGTTCCCACAGGAAATGAGAACAGCACCTCATAAGCCTTTCTCTACCCACATGTTCATCACAGCATTGTTAAGACTATCTAAGAAACAGCCTAAATTGATGGATCAAGAATAAAGTATCTATGATATTCATTTATATATATGTACATAGACACAGGCCTCACTTGAGATGTATAGATATAATGGAGAATCTTTGTGTCTTTAAAATAGAAATGTTTCCAATCAAAGCATTAATGAACTTGGAGCTGAGAATATAATGAAACAAGACAAACAGCAATATGCAGAACCTGAAAAATTAAATTCACAGAGGCAGAGTAGGATGCTTCATACCTAAAATAAAGGGGGAAAAACATGGGAGATGTTAGTCAATGATAGAAGGTTTCAGATATTGTGCTGGTTAGCTTTTGTCAACTTGTCATAAACTAGAGTTGCCTAGTAAGATGGAATTTCAGCTGATGAATTGCCTTCTTCAGATTGGAATGTGGGCATATTTATGAGGCATTTTCTTTATTTTATTAACATTTTTTATTTATTTTACATACCGACCACAGTTTCCCCTCCTTCCTCTCCTCCTTTCCCTGCCTTCTCTCTTCCCCTTTGCTCTCCTCTCCCATTGCCATCGTATCCCCCTTCTACTCCCTTCCCCATCCAATTCTCCTCTGTCTCAATCACAAAGAAGAAGGCCTTCAATGGGCTTGAACAAAGCAAGACACACCAAGTTGAGACATGACCAAGATCCTCCGCTGCATCAAGGCTTATCTAGATTCCCCAAAGCCAGCTAAACACCACGGTGAGGTCATGATCTCATGGTTAGGAGCCTTACAGGCAGACTAAGCTACACAACTGTCACACACATGCAGAGGGCCTAGGTCGGTCCCATTCAGGTTCCCTAACTGTTAGTCCGGAGTCCATGAGCTCCCAAAAGTTAGATAGGTCATCTGATAAGGCATTTTCTTAATTAATGATGGATGTGTGAGGCACTCTATGCAAGTAGTCCTGGCTTGTATAAGAAAGTAGACTGAGTATGCCATGGAGAACAAGCTAATCGGCAGCATTCTTCCATGGCCTGTGCTTCAGTTTCTTTCTCCAGGTTCCTGCCTTGAGTTCCTGTATTAACTGCCTTCAATGGTGAGCTGTAAGCTCTGAGAGGAGACCAACCCTCTCCTCCCCAAATTACTTTCTGGTCATGGTGTTTATCAGAGCAACAGAAAGCAAACTAGGACAGGCTGCACAGGATAATTAAGTTTTAGAGATTATGCAGTGCAATGACAATGACCAAACACATGAAGTTTAGTTGCCTGAGAATGGTATTGAGCTCACTACATTTAAGTAGATATGGATGTGGAATGATTGTAAGGATAAACTTAAATATCAACATGTTTTGCTTAAAAGTGCTTTAAAAATAGAGCTATAGCTATTTTCTACCCCAGAAGCATGCATGTTGACTAGGTCATTCTACTTGAATAAAAAAAAAGAATGGGGGAATTGTTACTCACCAGGCCTTTTGTTGTTTTAATTCCTGCTGCAAGCGATAAAGCTCCTGAAATGATATACTGAAACCAGAGGAAAATATACATAACCATTAAAGTTTATTTGAAAATTGATTCAGAAGTTAGATAGGTATGTTAATTAGAAGAAACATAGTTTTAAATAACAGGAATTTTAATGGAGGGACTCTACCAGAAGACTCTGGGAAAGTTTATCAACTTTCCAAAAGGCATTGAATTATAATTATAGAAAAGCTGTTTGAGAGCAACAAATGATAAGTCCTTTCAGTTCCAGTTCTGAAATAACCTTAGCATGGCACCAAAATTCAAGAAGGTATTATAAGCAAAAAGGACTAATTGAGAAACTATTTTGGTGTGAAATATATTTTAAGTTGTAATTAAAACAATAGCACAGAAACATCTCCTAGTTATTAGATAATAAATACAGACATGTACGTCCAGAGGTCAGCATCTCCCAGTCCCCTTCCCATTCTCTGGATTTTACATTATCTCTATCCCTCCTTCCTCAATGCTTCCTCAGTCTTGGGTGTGAGGTTGATACATTCAATTTTAACTATGAGAAAACATTCAAATTTAACTATGAGAAAACTGAGCCAAAAGACTTACATAGCAATATCAATTTATAAAAATACATGATAAAATCAAGATAGGATTCTAAGCTCAAGACAGTAATAACGATGTCATTTCTGCTTATTTCAGAAAGTATTCACTCACCACCACTGGTCCCCAACATGGGTATGTAATTCCAAATGAAATGTTTTCTTGGTTATAACGTATATCCAAGATAATTATTGTCATTATTCCTAGGCTAAGAATCATTAAGGCAGCCAGAATCTGTACAACCTAGAAATGAAAAAGTAAAAGTTAATTATCTACCACAATGGTGCCTGTGACTGTGCCACACTCTCTCCAGCATTATACTTCTTTCATTATCCTTTGTTTGATATAGCCATATTCTTGGCCTCATCAACAGTGTCAGATAATGGGTTTAATATCATGTAACAAGCCTTAATTTAAAAAAGAAAGTGGTTGGTTAGTTCCAAGATGACTGCAATTATTGCACCATTTTGCCAGGTACTTCACTAAGTGGGCGTAACATTAAAATGATCTCTTATAAGTCAAAATGATTTTGACTTAGTACTATTCTCATAGATCCGTGCTTCTGTACCATTATTACACCATTTTCCAGGTATGTTATTAAATAGACATAGCATTAAAATGATCTCCGATGACTTAGTGCTATATTCATGGATGAGTGCATCTTTCTCAACTTTCATACTCTCATTAGAGAAGCTTCCTACAGTAGATGACAGTTAACACATAGACCCACAACTGATCAATGCTCAGAGAACAATGACAACAAAAAACACTTTGGAGTATTCAGCTCTAAGTGAATACTGAACCCTTCCCATAATGCTTAGAGGTTTTGTTTTTTTTTTTTTTACTGATGAGGGGGCTGGAAAGATTATAAGAACCAGAGATGACTTCAAAGAAGCAGTGTTTTCTGGGCACAACACAGCAATTGCACACATGAACTAACAGTGATTGTTACAACATATAAAAGACCTGTTCAAGTTCAAGCCGGACAAATTCCAGAATAGAGAATAAGACTAGGCATGAAGTTCCACTCCTGGCTGAAGAAATATTGGCAATTTATTTCTACTAAGAGAGGGAGACTCAGTTTTCTTTAATAGTGTGACACCTGGCATATTGACCACACTGTACCCCAGACCCCATAACCAAGAGTAATTAATTGGGCAACACAAACTGAACTCAATGAGGACAGAGTGGGGGAAAGGAAAGTAAGACCTTGAAAGAGTTTTTTGGTAAATATAATCAAAATACATTCTATGAAATTCTCAAATAATAAAAACATATAAAAATACATGCAAAAGAAAAAATGATATACAATAAAACAGACTTGCCAAAATTGATGGGCTATAGCAAAAGAAATGCTCAGAGGGAAATGTACAACATTGAACATAGAGGGGCTTGAATCACAGATCTAGGATTCCACTCAGAAAACTAGAGTAGGAAAAGCAGATTGAATCAAAGGTAAGGACATAAAAAATTAGCATTAGGCCAGAAATCAATGAAATGACAATAGAAAATTTATAGACAAAATCGATTACAAATAAAAAGCTGTCTTTCAAAGGTAAAAGATAAGCCTCTAACCAGGTAAGTAAAGAAACATAGAATAGAACAGAACACACACAAAGTTCTGTCTCATAAATGACAGGGGGAACATCTCTGAGGATGCCATGAGGGAGAACTGGATGGTAATGGAATGCTATGAATAACTCCAATCTACCATTTTTATGATCTACACCCAAAATATTGCTCCCTAAGAAGACTTCCTGACATTCTAAATGGCAACATGTCAAGTAATTCTAACAGTATGAAGTTTTGAAAAGGACAAACTGTTAGAAAATGTTAGAAAATGTGGGGTGAATATATAGGGCACAGAGAATTTTTAGGTAAAAAAATGCTTTGTATAACATGCAATGTGGGACACTTATCCTTGTATATTGGTCAAGACCCACAGAATGTGCAATACAAGGAGTGAATGCTAATGTAAGTTAAAAACTTTGGGTAATAATGATGTATTGGTGTAAGTCTACCACTTGCAACAAAACATGCCATTTGGTAAAGTAGACCAATGAGGGGGGATGTTATTTATGCATGTGTGAGGACAGTGGGTATATAGGATGCATTGGTACCATTCAGTTCTTTTACCAACTGAAAATTTCTCTAATTATGAATACATACCAATATGTTTAAAATTGACCTTTAGAAATGCCAACATATATTTCTTGAAACACAACTGTCTGACACAGAACAAAAAGTAGAACAGTGGACAATTAAAGAATTACACGCGTTCACAATGACTTTCTCCCAGTGGTTTCTTATTTTCAGAAGAGATAACATTTCACTTGACCTTTAGTACGCACACATCTGAGACTCCAGATGGAAATGCTTGGAAAATAGAAGACTTTTCATGGTCTATGTGATAAGCTCAGAAAAGACATTAGAGATACAGACAATATGGGCTGACTGAAACAGGGCAGACCCTTGGAGAAGACCACAGCTAGGGCACACATAGTTTCTTGCTGCTGTTTCACAGTATGTTAAATGTTATTGGTCTAGGTGACCCACAACTTTGATGACATCTGCAGTCTCTAAATTTTAAATGTAACTGGATTAGAAGTGTAACACAATCAATTATATTTTTTTTCTGATGACAGTCTGAAAATCAAATACAGACCTGTTTGTATCCTTAGTGCTAGGCTTTAGTCTAATGAGTCGTAAGTTTACAATACCCCTGTCACTTAGATCTATTACCTACTTACACCAATGACTTTTGGTTCCCCCTTTAAGAACTTCTCTGACAATCCTTTCCACATATGTGAGTGCATTCCAGCGGGCTTCCCTAACTGCAGCACATCAAGGCCAGCATTCAGTGTGGTCTGTTCCATTGCTTGTATGGTTGTCATGACAGAAGACAGTGCTATAACAAAGGTAATTTGAGATGAAGTCCTGAAAATGAAAAAGGAGGGACATGATATTCTGAACATGATTATGCTATATGGAAAAATTCTGAACACCCTCAACTGTAATGATAACTCTTTCCTCCAGCCGCCTGAGTTCCACCGCCATGTTAGGGCCCCCAAATAACACATAGACTCTTATATTAGTTACAATGCTGCTGGCCAATGACTAGGATTTCTTATTTGCTAGTTCAGTCTTAATTATCAACCATGACTATTAATCTATATATTTTTATAAGGACTTATCTTACCTAGGACGCCAGCCTTATGCATCCAGTCTTCCTGGGGATCACATGGAGACTGTTCCCCTTACTACATTTTCCAGAATCCTCCTTGACTCCTAGCCCCACCTATTTTGCTTCCCTATTGGCCAACAATGCTTTATTTATCAACCAATAAGACAAAACTATACACAGAAGGACTTCCTCCATCATCTCCTCTGTCTAAATAAAAAGAAGGGTTTTAACATTAGCATAGTAAAATATATAACAAAACAGTTATCAAGTAAGAACTATAGTTACAATATTTAGTCCATTAACATTTAGCAAGATTTTAAAGAAAATATTCTATCATCTATCCTATCTTTGTGAGTGTAAGGTCTTATATGTAACTTATCTTTTATAATAACTAAAGAAAACTATAACCATAACTATCTGTCTTCAACTCCATCAAAGACCACAGAAGGATAATATAAACTCTAGAACTGACAGAAACATCTCATTGCCTGTACAGTCACCCAAAGTTCCTCTGTAACATTGGGGCATCCATTTTCTGCTTATAGGCCACAGTGTGTCTGGCAGACTTCTCAGTGAAGCAGGAAATTTTAAACTGCCCACCTGTATTGGCAGTTTGTCAGTCATTTTCTGTGTGTCCTGTAGAATGTCTGGCAGACTCTTCCATGAAGCAGTAACCCTTCAGGACTGTCTTGTTTTGCAAGTTTAGCAGTAACTTTCCTGTGGGTCCTGTATGTTCAGTTTATCAAACAGTCCAGGTAAGAGCAGTTTCTTGCCCAAATGGCTAATATTGCCATGTTGAAGGCAAACTCCATATTGAGTTTCTTCAATGCCTATCCTCCTTTCTGACATAATTGGTGTTGCCAGGAGCAGGTGTGTCTCACTGTCATGAAAAATCCTAAACCATTTAAATGCCATATATTCTGTAGGTCTTTGAAAGGTTTGAAGAATACCTATCCATCTCAAATACATCTCTGTATATCTAGAAAACCTAACTAACCTAACTTCAATTTTGACTATTATACCCGACTATATGCAATCTGTATTTAATTATGCATTACATTTTAAAAGATCTGTATAAACACAATACCAAACAAGAGGAGAAATTTACATATAACAAAATCAACCTTAAATTTGTATCAATAGGTGAAAATCCATACAAATGTATTCATTTCTATATCTTATTTCCTTTTTTCCTTTAAAAAGAGATTGACTGTGATCATTATAATTTATAACCAACCCCATTTAAATGAAAATGAACATTTATAAACAATATTTGGGAATTTGGGTGTTGTTCACTCCAAACTGCTTCCTGCTGGTTGGGGGTGACGTCCATACCATGGGGATCATAATAAAACACAGAAACCTGATCAGGTCCTTATTTTTGTGGTCTGTAAGGCTGTATCATCTTAGCTGTTTTAGATATTGGATCACCTGGGACACTGTTTCAGGGGGATCTTGCTTCATCAAAACATATTAGTCTGGAAGAAATTCAAAGTTTTACATTTTCTGTGGAAACATAAGCAAAAATCCTTTTCCCAAGTAACCTGTCCTTATTTTTAAATTTAGAAGCCAAAGAATTTTTAAAATATGTAAGTTGGATTAATTTAGCAGCACCTATATTCAAGTGTATTTTAGCAGCTATAGCTCTTTCCTTGTCAAACAAACAATTTAAAGACAACAGTATAAAACATAGTATCCAGACTCTGTGAGTATTTTCCATATTTACCTGGCCTTTTATTATTCTATTTCTTTTACTTCCTTTTTTTCTCTTTTTTTTTCCTGAGACAGGGTTTCTCTGTGGAAATCTGCCTGCCTCTGCTTCTGGAGTGCTGGGATGAAAGGTGTGTGCCAGTATACCCAGCTACTCATTCTTTTATATTTTCTTTCCCAAATCTATGTATATGTTTTCTTTAATGTAAATCTGTATCTTTTTCTAATCACATGAGTCTTAGGTGCTCAATAACAGCCACAGTTTTGGCCGCTGTGTAAATAAGGAACTTGCTCTTAAAAGGAGTCTTGGCATATCTCTTAATGCCTGGGAAATAGAGCTCACCCAAGAAAATTCTGCTATCAAGAAAGTGCTTGTCTCTGTTCTTTTTGTTTCTAAATTCCCTTTTTAAGTTTTTGTGAAATTTTTATGTGGAAGTTCGTAAAACCATGTGGGCGCCATTTGTAAGATAACTCTTTCTGTCAGCTGCCTGAGTTTCACCGCCAAGTTAGGGCCCCCAAATAACACACAGAGTCTTATATTAGTTACAATGCTGCTGGCCAGTGATTAGGATTTATTATTTGCTAACTCTGTCTTAAGTATCAACTATAACCATTAATCTATCTATTTTATAAAGACTCATTGAGGACGCCAGCGGCATGTGTCCTCTCTTCCCCAGGATCACATGGCAACTCTGTCTCTTTCCTATATTTCTCAGAATCTCCCTTCTTTCCTAGTCCTGCCTAACTTGTTTCCCTGTTGGACAACAGTGCTTTATTTATGAACCAATAAGAAAAATATATACACAGAAGGACCTCCCCCATCACCCAATATTATAATGGCTGTTTGAGCCCAAGAAGTAGAAGAAACAAATTGAAGAGGAGAGATGGAGAGACATAGAAATAGATTATTGATGGGTATAGTGTTGGTTGGTAGATGATGACAGATATATAATTGATTGTTATATGACAGATAAGTAATATGTAGAAGATAGATTTGTGCCACAGTCATATCTGATAAGAATGGCAGAAGTCATAAGGCCGGCACAGCTGTTTGACAAAGATCCAGCAAAGCTGAGCTGCATGATGGCCACCCCACCACCTTTGGTTTTCAACTCCATCTGTTGCACATCTGGATAACTTTTAATTTCTTGTACAATTTGGGGATATTGGGTTGATGGGAAATTTCTTAAGAATCATTTATGCCTTCTCCCAGGAGTACTGCTTTTAAGCTTCCCCAGGAAAGTCCTGAACACACTACCTCACCCAATTTTAGGGAAATATCCTTATCTACTTGAAAGTCTTCCTTATGCCTTGGAGGTTGTGACACACATAAAGAAGCCAGAGGTCTCTTTATGAGGCTACGAGGCATTCTTGAAACATCTGTCCCTGTACTTATGCAGGAACAAGTTACTCAAAACAAAGTAAACTTTTAAAGGTCAACAAAATTCGGTGGGCTAGAGGAGTTGGACACAGATAAGATTGCAAGCCTTTCCCCACTATGCACTCAGGCAATTATGTGGCATATACAGTAACAAAATTAGGTTGACTGAAGTTACCTGAGCCCTACACAGAGACTTGTATTGATGAGCAAGGTATGGAATGGAAAGGTGATGAAAGAGTGAGATGTCAGTACCTCCCTTTCTTAGAAAAGTTAGCACATGCAAAGTCACTGTGGTGTCTATGACCAAGAAATAACAGAACGCCAGGATTAGAATATCGAGAAATTCTATAAACATATAAAATGTGAACATTGTATTATGCCAGAATTTGAATAATAACAGCAGCATCTTTGGCCTAAGGATATTTCTTGGGTATGCTGACCATTAAGAGTTAATAATACACTGCTTGGGTTATGGAAATATGCCCAGACTAGCTTGGAGATTTTGTTTTGATCTAGTGTCTTTGTAGCCACAAAAGCTACCAGCTTGAGAACAGGCTGTTATGTGCCTCTAGATCCTTAAAAAATGGGTTATGGGGTTAATGAGGAAAAATGATTATAAAAGATAACTTTTTTATCAATGATGTCAAAACTTGAGGGAAAATGATTAGAAATGATAACTGTTCTATCATAATTTATTAATGATGAGTAAAGATGAGCAGAAGGAAGAGAAACACATGCGCAAAAAATGACATGATCTATGTTATGGAACAACATGAATGTATCCCTGCTTACTAAATTCTGTATAAATAAAGACACACTCTGGCTGCTAGTCAGTCAGGCTGCAATGTTCTTCTGACCATCACGGCCTGGCTCCCTCTCTCCTTTGCCTACTCCTTACATCCCCTGCTGGGACACGAGTCTCCATCTGAGAAGCTAGAACATAGATAGATAGATAGATAGATAGATAGATAGATAGATAGACAGATGATACAGAGAAACCATAAAATACCAGTTTTAGGAAAATATAGATAGGAAAATAAAAATATCAATCTAACTTATATATCCATTCAAAGTTATAGAAAGTATATAAAAACTACAAAATGCTAATTCTTAAAATAATAAGTCAAATAAAATGTAAAAATTAAGACAATAACAACTATTAGTAAATAATACATGAATTTTAATGAGTTTGAAATAGTTACAATTAGGAGTTACATATAGTCCAATTGTCAATGTTTCTTCTTTTCTAAAAGTTATTAAAACTGCCCAGAGCATCAAAATTGGAGTTTATTATCATAAATTTAGGAAAGTGAACATCTAAAACCTACATAAATTATCCCATGAGATTGTTCTAAAAATGAAGGTTGCATCAAGCTAAATTTGTGAAGAGCTGCAGAAAAGGTATCAAAGAATAGGACACCATTACCACAGGTGTAAGAATATAGAGATGTTTTGAAGTCTAACATATATGTAAGTTATTAACATGGGACTTACTACATCACTTAACAACTGTAACTTCTAAGATTCACAGAGAAAAAGGACAAAGGACAAATTGCATATAAACAAATCAAATTCATTACAAGAGTTTGTTCTGTACCACCCTGGAGCCTACAGAAGAGGAC